ATACCAAGAGAGTGACGTAGAAATGAAGGAAATAAGGGCAGTAAACGATAGACAGATAGAGAAACAAATAGACATAGAGAGAAAAAGATAGAAAGACAGTGAAAACAAAATAGCAGGCATAGCCATGTACAGCAGTATATACTAATGTATATAGAAAGGTGTCGAAAAGCGACAGTTGAGAAGTTAAAAGCCCAGCCAAGGCAGTGCCAACTAGGTGTCCACCAGGTCTGTTGTGAACCGAACCTGCAACCTTCGAATAACGCGCATTCGAAGGTCGCAGGTTCGGTTCCTGCCCACTGGAAGTTATCTTTTCACCCAGTTTTGTTCACGTTTACATTACCATTCGGTCTGATAGCTTCCCCTATACATTCCTGGGCTTTATTGTCTGTTAGGCCTCAGTAAATGAGCACATAAAGTATACACTGCTTTCCCATATATATATATATATATATATATATATATATATATATATATATATATATATATATATATATATATATATATATATATATATATATATATATATATATATATATATATATATATATATATATATATATATATATATACACGGAAGCTAGAAAGGACGACGTACGAGGAAACACTTTTATTAATCACATACGTTTCGGCTGGTGGGCCAGCCTTCGTCAGCGTGACACCAGCCGTGAGCAGGAATCAAACCTACGACCTTCGAATAACGCGTTCGAAGGTCGTAGGTTCGATTCCTGCTCACGGCTGGTTATTTTTCACTTTTCACCCACTTTTCTTTCTTCTTTTAACATTCCATTGGTTCTAATAACTTCCCCTGTACATTCCTTGGCATTACTGTCTGTTAGATCTCATTAATATTGTGTCAAAACACGGAAAAACGAGATCTTAGGTGTACACTTCTTTCCCTTATATATATATATATATATATATATATATATATATATATATATATATATATATATATATATATATATATATATATGTGTGTGTGTGGCCGAAGCCCAAGTGCTGCTGTATCCATCCGAAGAGTCGTTTTGTGCGTCGTTTCGTGCTTTTGAACTCTTCCGGTGTTGCGCACCACTTAGGCCTACCACTCCATTCACAAGGTCCTGGCTCAGTGCCTTCGACGACAAGCGCCCTGTCCCCGCGTTACGCCATAGCTGTCAGTGAACCGGGTCACGTGAACGCCTCTATTTTCGTGCTCTCCGAGGAACCGGCGGCGTCTTTCCGGGGGACGTTTGCCACGACGTCTTCTTGCGCCAGTGGTTGTTTCTTCTATCTTCTTTATTGATTCGGTGTCACGCTTTTCGCAGAGACGAAGTTCTCAGATCACGCGCTCGGTGTCCCCTTCCTGTTCCTTTTTTTTTTCTGGATCGTTTTTTGTCACCGGGGTTTTCGTTCAATACACCGTGGTTCAGTGGCATCGCGTTGCAAGAGACATTACTCGTTGTTTCAGTTGGAAAAAAAAAAAAACACGCATATTCACGAAGTGAATGCTGGTGATGAGATGATGGGGCGAAGGACGGTGGATCGGATCATGAATTGTGGCCTTCTATTTTTTTTTTTTTCATTTTGTTCTGGTCAACAGACTTTTATTTCGTTCTTCTTAACACTTCGTTCTGTCATGTGCTTTAATTGATGGGTGGTTAAATGTCCGCAGTTTTTCCGGTGTTGCGGCATTTTATTTGGTTTGTTCTGGTTAACAGCCTGTTTATAACCTTTTTGTTCTTCTCAGATGTTTCGGTTTCTACATCTACTTTAGACGTCGGGCGGCGGTTTTGGTCGGAGAGACAGAGCGTGGTTGAAGGTGCTTTAAGGTGTAGTGGTAGTAGTAGTAGTAGTAGTATATAGTGTTACTAGTATTATTAATATCATAGCCTAAATAGTCAGTGCAAAAAATGTAGCATTTGTTCAGGAAACGTCAGAATATCCAGTTTATTCTAGGATGACTGCCAATTCACCGAGCTGTGTAATCAACGAACATTGATTAGTAAATCATTAAAGTATACTCCAGCGAAAATTTTGCGGTGTAGAATAGTTGCGACGCTTGTGCAAAGTCACGTGCAGGGAGAAGAGGAGCCGTCGTCATCTACCAAAACTTCGGCCACTGCAAATCGTTCAACTCTAGCGCCAATCTGAAGAAAATAAAAAAAAAATTGCCCGCAGCTTCCCTCGGGGGAACACTGAGGAGGATGCGGAGCATATAATTGGTTAACGGGGTGTTAAAGTGCGACTTACTTGGGTCGATGGCTAAATTGGTTAACGTGGTTGTGAAATGGGGTGTTAAATTGCGACTTACTTGGGTCGCTGGCTAAATTGGTTAACGTGGTTGTAGGAGGGGTGTTAAATGAGTGAACACGTACGACACGTATGCGAAAGGGCGGTGTTTATTTATTGCGACGAACTTTGAGCACGATGGCTTTTTGGTCGGTAAAGTGAAGAGTTAGTGGATCGGGTTGCAGCGGTCGTAGGTGGAAATTTGCAAAGACGTGGTCGATGCAGGTTCCGCGAATGGTGGTCGGCTGGTGGTGTTTGCAGTCGTCGTGCGTTGCGCGTTTCAGCGAGTGTCGCGACGCCATGTATTCGACTATCCAATCGTCTTTGATGACGTCGACGTTGAAGTCGCCAACTGTCAGTGGTAGTTACAAACGCTAACCGAAAACTATTCTTCCTTCGAAGAGCTCTAAAACATTCTAATTCCACGGTGCGTACTCTAGCGTACAGAACTATCATTCGCCCAGTGTTAGAATATGGAGTGATTGTTTGGGACTGTGATGTGTGGTGCGCGTTCAAAGTGCGCGCCTTCGAAAAGTGCGCGAAATTAAAGGATGACCGAGTGCACGTGCTGGGTCGCCTGAACAACGACGACGCCGAGGACCGGTACACGTGAGAGCGTGGAGCGCAAGCATCCAAGACCATAAAGAAAACAAGGGCCAATGGCTGATCACCACGGAGTTTTGAAAGGCCAATCAGAACGAGACAAGTGGGCCAGAGCTGAAGCAGGAGCCTGAGCAGACCAGAGCAAGGGGAATTCGAAGAAGACGGGGCAAGCGGAAGGTCGTCACCAGACCGGGCGCTGAAGATGGGCCGTCGGGCGTAGGACCCGAGCCTGCAGGTCTTCAACCGGCCGGGGCCTCCTGCCGTCGTGTTCCCGCTCCAAAGGACCGTGGCCATCCGGTCCTGAACTCCTTTCCAGGGCCTGCGGACTTTGGTTCCGGCAGGCGAGCTACAGCCGTCGGGCTCCGGGCCCGAGCTGTGCGCCCAGCTGCTTGACTAGGTCGACCCTGGGTCTCTGACGCGTCACCACCAGCCTGCGTTCTCTCGTCACAGACGGGTCCACACTCCTAAAGCCAGAGCCACCACGTTCCGGCCTGGTTTCTCGACGTGTCGTCAGCAGCCAGCGTTCCTTCATCCCCGTCCTGCCCGCGTCCTGAAGCCGGAATCACCGCGTTCCGGTTTGCTCATCGTCGGCGGAATTCAGCGTGTGGGTGAGACCGAACAGATATCTTGCGCTACTCCCATCACTCAGCCCCTTTCGAACGTTAGGTTTAGTTACTGACTTTGAACGTTTTTGTTGGGTGTTTACAGATGTGTTTCGTCATGTCCAGTCAACTGTTTATTAAGTGTTTTGTTTTGTGAGGAATCTTTGCCTTTTTTTCTTTTCAATTAAACTTTTTGTGTGTTTCTTGGAAACCGAACGGCTTTGTCCTTATTAACAAAACTCTCTGAGGCTCAGCCCGGGAGAAAAACAAATCAGCAACAAGAACCCCGCATCACAGGGACCCCTTCACTAAAGCTAACATAACTAAACTGGAAAACGTACAGAAGAAGGCAGTCCGCTTTATATTTAATAGCTTTGGACGCACCTCTATAACTGAACTCCTACATCGTGCCAATGAGCCTTCAGTTACTGAAAGAAATCGTTTAATACGACTACAATTTCTTTACCAAATAATTAAAGGGCATTATAAGCTTGATGTTTCCAACATCATTTCCTTTTCTTCTGGGTACGCCACCCGCCAAAGGCATCAACTTGCAATAACCCCTTTCCGGTCCCGAAATAACTGCTTCAAATATTCCTTTTTTCCTCGTACAGTAACTCAGTGGAATGGATTAATTAATAACCAAGTGATGGAGCCGTCCTTAGAGTTGTTTGCAGCAAATTTGACCTGATTGTTTAGATCATGCTGTTCTATTTGTTTGTTTGTTTGTTTGTTAGGTTTATGCAATCTTGAGTGCCAACATTGTCAAAATTATATCTGTAACCACCCTGCTAAAATCTCTGTAATAGGGATTGCAGTATGAATAAATAAATAAATAAATAAATAAATAAATAAATAAATAAATAAATAAATAAACTAGCCGAGCGACAACTGAGTGAGCGAGCACCGACCTTGAGTATATATACAGCGCGACGGCGCATGCACTGTCAGCTGTCGAATGTTCGAGAAGGGGGAGAAGCGCAACGGCGCATGCGCGCGCGTCAGCTGCCGATGTTCTCGAAGCGTGACGGCGCATGCGCGCTACATTATACAGCTAGCGAATGTTCGTGAAGAGGAGAAGCGCACGCGGTGTGTAGAGGAGGAAGGGTGCACAGATGGTGGAGGAGTGAAGCGCGCGCGGTGTGTAGAGGAGGAAGGGATGCACAGATGGTGGAAGAAGGAGGAGGAAGCTTGCGGACGGCGCCGCACTACAAGCCTTGAGTATTAGATGCTCCGCATCTAAAAAAAATCGCGACTTAACGCGCAGCTGACCGCGGAACAATACATTTCGCCTGAACGCAGACGCTGGCTCAGCTGGCTGCTTGCACGGTTCGCGAGTGCACCAGCGATGCTCGACTCTGGGGCGCTCTCGTGTTTATAAAAAAAAATGTCCAACTATAAATTAAGTGCTCGACCTAATGCGCTAGTATTTCGCCAGTTTATTTGCGAATGCACATGGATAAACCAACGTAACAAGTATGATTGAAAATTGGCCGTCGTGGCCCCTTTAATAACGCTGCGCGCGACTCACCGGCTGTCGAACCCGATGCCGGCGCCTGTCTTGTCGCGCTTCTTCATCTCCGCTTTGAAGACGTCCCAGCTGAAGTCTAGGCGGTCGGCGTACACCTTGTTCTTGGACACCACCACGTGGCAGAAGTACATGTAGTCACACAGGCCGTCAGGGGGCAGCATTGCCGGAACGACGGCGTACGTGCCGATCGTGCACACGAGTTCATTGGTGGAGGCTGCGCGTGGGGTCATCAATCACTCAATCGTACTATTAATCAATCAATCGTTGCACAGGCCGTCAGTAGCAGCCCTGTCGTCATGGCGGCATACGCACCTATTGTGTAGACGTGCTCACTGAAAGAGTGCGCGGGGTCGAGCGCCGATCGATCAATCAATCAATAAATGACTGGGCCAGACAGTCGTAGAGTACTACGTACGCCGTCTGCAGTGTTGAGAGTTGCGCCCTAGAGTTTACAGCCCTAAATCATAACGAACTATACCGTGGAACCATGCTTGCTGCAGAGTAGACGTGCTCACTGAGAGATTGCGCGGGTTTGAGCGCTGATCAATCAATCAATCAATCAATCAATCGATCAATTAATCAATCGATCAATCAGTGACTAGGCCAGACAGTCGTAGAGTACTACGTACGCCGTCTGCAGTGTTGAGAGTTGCACCCTAGAGTGTACAGCCCTAAGTCATTACGAGCTAAAATATCCGTAGAACCATGCTTAGTGCAGGTTCCTTTCAGTGCTTCAGAGTAAGGCCCGCAAACTGGTGAATGAACCATTTGAAACAATGCCCTGGATATATGCACTGCATTATGCGCATGTGCAACTCCCTCATAAATGGCGTGCTTCTGTCCTGTCTCAGCAGAATATTAACGAGCATATATGAATGTTTACATTAATCGGTACAGTGCAGCACTTGCCGTCCGCGCTTTTAGGCAGTCCACTGTTCTACACCCGAAAGAACAGGAGCTTGAAGTACCAGCTGACTCACTAACGCAATCCAGTTGGCCTATGTAAGACAACGTAAAGATAATAACAAAAAAAAAAACTATGGACGAAGCCAGCGAAAGAGATTAGATAAGTAATCAGATGCAACAATCGCCATCTTAGTACTTCGTGGGTGAACACGCCTTGAAAACGATGCATAACGATGATTCGCAGCCTGTACACGGACTGCATGCGTCGCTTCGAACAACCTGGCATGTAATGTAGGCAAAAAAGGCGTTTGAAATTTTGTTTACTGGCAATAAAAGCTGGAGTGGCTGAGAACCCCCAAAATTTCGTAAAGCTGCAGCGAAGCCCCGTGTTCGCGAATTTTTCATCGTTTTTTTTTTTGCTTACACAGTTTTCTCGAAGTACTGCTTTCTGTGGGACATTTTCTAAACCCTCAAATAAATAATAAGAAAAATATATAAGTGTACTTCGCACAGAAACTAAGGTTGTGGTATTTAGCTTATTTTTTTTCCTGTTATAACTGCCTCGTGCTCCTTGCTCTTTCGGCTTTATATTCAGAAGATATTTCATTCCTTCAAAGACACCACTCCTTTCTTATTGCGCTAACGTAATCGGTCAGAAAACGCACGAAATGTGTTTTTCTAAAAATAAACAAAAATTATTTCTTCTTCGGGTGAACTGTGGCGAACTTTGATTAAACAGCGCTACAACGGGAGACAGAATGGAAAGACCAGGCCAAGCACTGTGCCGGTCGTCGGTCGCCCGTTCCGCCACCAGATACCAAAAAGTTCGTAAAGACGGAAATATAATTTAGTAGCTTGCGTAATCCGTGCATTTTGAGCATGTGCTTACACTTTGGCGGGGAGGTGGTGGAGGCGGCGGTGGCTGCGGTGGCGGTGGAAGGGGTGGCCGGGGGCGCCCCGTTGGTGGTGGTGGAGGCGGGGCCGTAGGTGGCCGGGGCGGTGGTGGTGGTTGCGGTCCAACAGGATCGGGTCCAACAGGAGGCTGCGCTGGTGTTGTGACAGGTGGCGGCTGTACAGGTGACGGGTGAACACGCGTTGGTCTAGGTACGATGGGTTCTGGAGCAACAAAATGAAAAACGCAGTTGGCATACACATTGCGTACACAAACAGAGAGGGTTGTGTGGGCAAAATTAATCATAAATTATTGAAAGTGAAAAAAAAAACGAAAAACCCCTTTTCCTGCTTCACCAGAGTATTGCAGGCTACCGAATGAATTCAACAAAATGATTAGGACAATCGTCAAATGGAAATTTGGAAAAGACAAAAAAAAATGGTCACTACCACTATCCAGGAGGCGACATCGAAGAGAACAAGGCACGATGTATACAGAAAGACATTTTCTGTTCAGCCTGTCGTATTGTTCTTGCCTGCCCCCGAAAGCGTTCTGCACCAACCGTGGTTTCCCACTGCATTCTGAATCGGAGCCATTGCTAACAGAGGGGACTATATACTTGAGTGTCTTAGAGTTTCCTATCCATGTTCACCAGTGGAAACTCTGACGCTGTGGGAGCTGTAACGCACGACACTTCAGCCAGCATGGGAGTGGTTGGTAGGAGACGGATTTGTCGAAACTTCGTTCTTTGGATGGCTTGCACCAGTTTTTCCACAAGACGAAGTTGAGCAAACGTTCAGGAGTTTCACTTCACCACCTTAACGTTTCGGGCTAAAAATTCAAACGGGCTCGCAAAGTTCAGCGCGATTCATTGTTTTATCCGAAACAAAGGCCAAAACAGAAGAATAAACAAAACAAGTGCATTCGAAGCCGCAAGAGTGATGACTGGGGAAATCCGTGTGCTAACCACATGGGCTTCCAAAAAAGCGTGGCAGCCCCCACCCCCCTTCCCTTGAAATTTCGGATACAATTTTTTTCTATGCAGTAGCGATAGGCTACACTCGTTCACTATATAGCACGTGGAAGGTTAACATATTCCTGTGATACGGACCCCGGGGTTGCCAGCCAGCTTTGCACGTCATCACACACCATCGACTATTGCCGGTCTTGTCAAGGCAATAAAATAACCCCCACCCCTTCCCGTCCGTACACCCTCCTGCAAGAAGTTCTGCGGACGCTATACCCACCATTCCCAGGGTAGGTGAACGATCGCAGCGTCAGAGTTCGATCTAGGGAATTGTAGGAAATTCTGCTTGAAGTAGGCCTCCTCGACTTTCCCAGCCCACTCTGGGATGGCCCTCTGGAATTTATGCCTCAAGCTGGGCAAGGTAGCCTCCTACTGATCTTCGCTAGGTATTGCTTGAAGAAGAGGTGCCTAAGGCACCCTCAAAGAGACGCTCAATTTAAAAGAGATGGATCCGTGAATGCACGCGTTCCTGTCGCGGTAGCGAATCACAATTTCCAGAAGCGATGCGGGGTCGACCGTTTTGGCTTCACTTGTACGCCACTCGCCACTGTGATCTAGTGGTCATGGAGCACTACTGCTGACCCCTACAGCCGTGGGAATTGAATCCCGGCCGGGGCGGCCGTATTTTCCATGCAGGCGAAAAGTGCTTGAGGGCCGCGTACTTGGAGATTTACTCGCACGTCAAGGAAGCCCAGGTGATCGAAGTTTCCAGAGCCCTCCACTACAGCGCCCTTCATTATCACAAAGTGATTTTTGAACGTGGAATCTCAGCAATTACAAATATTAATCACTTGTACGCTTTGAGAGCGACAAAATTACGTTACGGCGGGTTCGCTAATTACACTATTCACTTCTGTATAGGGGTTGCCGATACTCGTTAACGCCAGCTTTCGTGATTCTGGTGGTGTTGTACATGTCGCACTGTCGTCGTCGTCATCGTCATCATCATCATCATCATCATCATCCTGACTACGCCCACTGCAGAACAAAGGCCTCTTTCATGTTCCGCCAGTCAACTCGGTCCTGTGCTTTCTGCTGCCATTTTACACCCGCAAACCCCATAATCTCGTCCGCCTACCTAACTTTCTGTCTCCCCTCACCCACTTGCCTTCTCTTTAAATCCATCTGATCCTTAATGACCAGCGGCTATCTTGCCTTCGCGCTACGTGCCCTGCCCATGACTATTTCTTCTTCTTGATTTCGAATATGATGTCCATAACACACGTTTATTCCCGGACCCACTCTGCTCTCGTCTTGTCCTTTTTACACCTATCATTATCGTTTCCATTGCTTGATGCGTCGTCCTCAACTTGTATGTCGCACTATCCTCGGCCGCAACTTATCTTCTCATTGTAGGGAAGGCGCCCCGCCGCGGTGGTCTAGTGGCTAAGGTACTCGGCTATCGACCTCCCAGGTCGCGGGATCGAATCCCGGCTACTGTGGCTGGATTTTCGACGGAGGCGAGAATGCTGTATGCCCGTGTGCTCAGATTTGGGTGCAAGTTAAAGAACCCCAGCTGGTCGAAATTACCGGAGCCCTCCGTTACGACGTCTCTCATAATCATATGGTGGGTTTGGGACGTTGAATCCCACATATCAATCATTAGGAGTGAAGGCTACGCAGGCAGGGCTGCCGCGCATTTGTGTTGCTGAATTCAGTTCTACACACTCGCATCGTTAACACATTTTGAAAATATATACACGAATAAATGTGAATGGGAAAAACATTTATGCTGGTAAAGGCACATTTTAGTGTCATATTAAGCGTATTATTTTTAAAGAACTAAACAGAGTGCGTTTGCGGCCGCGCACCGATTCACTATAGGTGAAGGACGCCATGTTTACGTCCTCGTCTACCCGTTAGAATGTTTTTTTATTTATGGCATGTTTCCTCTAAATGCTCCAATCCCATTATCAATAAAACAGCATCTATTTCAGCAAGGCAAATGAAAAAAAAAAACATCGGTAAACATAACTGCCATTTTTGGCGCGGTAGCAGACATGCGCCTCTGTTTTGCAGCCTCCACAGTTTAGTTTCAGTGTATTATTATTAATTCAAGATACAAAGGCTCATGGTTAGTAGTATATGCCGACAAGGGTCCCGAAGTGGAGCAACTGCAGCGGGACCTTCTGTGCTGTCAAATTCGCCGAGTATATAAACGCGCAAGCGTGCGTGCATTCATGTCAAAGGCTGCAGTGCCTGCCCAATGGAAGGGCACCTTCAGACTGTTGTTTTCTTAACATTCAAAATATGTGAAACTCTTCGCTTCTCGGAAGACCCGTTTCAATCTAGCGTTGTGATCTATTCCAAGGAATGATGTATGAACCAGACCCTTTTTAAAGGACAAGAGATTCAATGGAGATTGGTCCCTAGACAGTCTCGTATGATGCAAGTGAATGACACTCACTTCGTCGTGGTTCTGGTGGTGGAAACGACCTGCCTCCGCCGCCTCCACCTCCGCCTGCAGCCCCGCCTCCACCACCACTGATGTCGTTATTTCCGACGTCGTCATCGGCACCTGCGTAAAACGGATACCGAGCAGACTTGTATGCGCCGCAGAAAGTAATTGATTGCAATTACACTTTCTTTAAAACGCAATGGGTTACAGTGGTCAGTTAAAGCCCCAGAAGAGCAACTGAGCAATTATGGAAATGAAATCAATTACTTTTGCATTATTTTCCTTCAGAGTTTTACTGCCGTAACTTGAATAACACACGTTTATTCAAACCACAAATAGCCGTAGTGTGGCTTGCATGCTAGAGAAAGACTGGGAGGCTTATTGTGGCTTCAGTAATGGAGTGTGGCACGTTTAACTTACAGTGAAGTTGTTGAAAGTTGTAACCACTGATTCTTCCTCATTTTATCGTTACGAGGTCAGCCGCTACACTGAACGAACCTTGACTGCATGTGCTGAAGGGAAGACGGAATTATAACACAGGAAGACCCCGCGCACTAGCTCGTATTTGCACAGTGCTTCGATGCTACTGTCCACGTCCTATGAATCGTTGCGCTTCGGTGTTGCTGGCGCTCTGGTGAGGCGTTAAGGTAAGGCCAACTGACAGGTATACCAAAAGAGGCCCTTAGGGACCCCCCTCCCCTCCCCCGTACCCTATGGCAAGACAAGGGGTCGCTAAAGAGCGATCGCAGTCTGGTTACAACATAATTTTACGAAGTAATCGAATACCCGTAATCAGTTACAAAATGTGTAATTGAATTACCGAGAACATTATTTTCGCACAAAAATTATGGATCATCGCCCCGAAGGCAACCCTGATAGGATGCGAAGCAGCAGCGGTGCGCACCGCGTTGACCCGGTTGAAACGGGCGTCGGCGTGGTTGCTGGAAGAATGGTCTGAAGTGAAACTCGGTGTAGCGTTTACTCGAGTCAACGCTTGTTTGAAACGCAAAGACACGGGAAGCGGGTTGGGTTTTGTGTAAGCTTCATCGCAGACAAACGAGCCGAGAGGGGGCTTTCATTCGACGTGCGGTCGAGCGCTGCGGACGGTTGAGAGGGTGAAGCGAGAGAGAAGCGTATTGCGAGCGGGCAGAAGAGCCTGCAGCTGCGGCGAGCGTGCTGCGGTGAGGGAGAGAGTGACGTGAGTGCGAACTTGGGAGGGAACCGTGCGAGGGGAGCCTGACGTCAACGCGCAGCTGCGGCGTGACCTACTTTGCACCGCTCCAACACCTGCGGCAAAGGGAACGCGTTGCAGCGCGTTCGTAGACGCGTACGTACGGCGTTACACACGTAATTCAAAGCTGCTTCGCATTTAAACGTAACCGCCTGTATTACAAATTTACAAATGTAATTGATTAGAAGTGATTGATCACTTGTGACGTGTTACTTGCAACTCTTATACCGAAATGCTGCAAATGAAGTGGTAGCGGTTGTAAGAAAAAAATGCCGACGTATCCACAAAGTGAATGATGATGAGTGGGCGAAGCTCTGGAGGTAAACCTGGTAAACCATGAATCCTCCGTACATTTTGCCCACTCAATCATCATTCACTTCGTGGATATGGCGGCACATTTTCAATCATCATCGAGCGTTGGTGTTCGAATTAAAAAGCTCCGGAAGGATTCATTGGTAAACCGTGAATCTTCCGTGTAATTCGCGCAGTCGATCATAGTGCAAATACGTTAGAAACACTGTGTGTGTATATACACAAATCAACTTTTGTTTGTTTTTGGACGATGAATGGCTTGCAATGTCCCGTCATTATGACGGCTTTATGGTCTGCGAAATGAAGGGAGAGCGGTTCCTGCATGGGTTGCAGTGGACGATTTGTAAATACTAGGTCTATGCATGTTCCTAGAATCGTGGTAGGTTTCATATGGCCAAACGATATACATCTGAGTGCATATCTAGAAGCCATATGTAGGATAAGCCAATTATTGTCTATGATATCCACGCTGAAGTCTCCAAGTAGTACAAATGGGCCATTCTTGTATTCCATTTTATAACATCTCGCATCTTTCATCCTCAACTACAATTACCGCCATCTAGTTTATAACATCTTGAATCTTTTTATCATCAGCTACAAGTACCGCCATGTAGTGAACACTCTAAGAACTAAACGAGAGGTGGCTACATTCAGGGGACGCACAACCCACGCCTTAAGGAGCTTCGCCCCTAAAAACAGTGAAAACAGAAGTAGCAGTGTAGTATAGGTTGTAATTGGAGGCAATAAAAAATTGCCGCCATATCCACGAAGTGAATGATGATGAGTGGGCGAAGCTCCGGAAGTAAACCTGGTAAACCATGAATCCTCTGTACATTTTGCCCACTCGATTTTATTACATCGCTCCCCCTAGCGTACGTCGCCGCACTAAATCGAACGATTGCCTTCAACCAATGACACGCGCCATATGTGACATCATTCCTATTTTATAAGATCTCGCGTCTTTCATCAACTACAAGTACCGCTTTCTAGTTTATAACATCTAGCATCTTTTCATCATCAGCTACAAGTACCACCATCTAGTAAACACTACAAGAACTAAACGAGAGGTGGCTACATGGATGGATGGATGGATGGATGGATATGGCTGTACCCTTTAGATCGGGCGGTGGCTAGCGCCACCAAGCCGTAACACCTAATGAACCAAAAACTATATTTATTTTTTTCCCTTAAAAAGTGAGTTTGAGGATTCGTACTTTGCAGTGAAGAGTTTAATTTTCACTCGTGTCTTGACTTTAGCCACCAATCAGATAACCTCCTTCTGGTTAAGTCTACCCGCTTAAAGTTTATTTTGCCCTCCCGGTCCCTAAACCCCAGTGCTTTGAAAAACTCTGCGCCATCATCCTGAACTATAGGGTGAAGCCCTTTACAGAACATTATCAAGTGTTCGACAGTTTCTTCTTCCTCTCCACACGCACTGCATACTGTGTCTACCCCTTCGTATTTGGCCCGATATGTCTTGGTTCGCAGTACTCCCGTCCTGGCCTCAAACAGTAGAGAACTACCCCGTGTATTATCATAGATCCTTTCCTTGGCAATTTCCTGCTTAAAAGTTCGATAGATCTCTAGTGCGGACTTCTTAATCATGCCCATTTTCCACATGTCAATCTCCGTTTCCTTCACTTTCTTCTTAACCGATAGTTCTTTTTGGTTTGGCCACCTGCTGTTTTCTAAGTATTTACCAGTCAACTTCCTGGTTCGCTTCCTCCATTTTGTATCGACATTCTTCATGTACAAGTAGCTGAAAACCTTCCTAGCCCAACGCTCTTCCCCCATTTCTCTCAATCGTTTCTCAAATTTTATCTTGCTGCTAGCTTCCCTGCCCTCAAATGATGTCCATCCCATATCACCTTGTACTCCCTGATTTGGTGTATTCCCGTGAGCTCCTAAAGCAAGCCTACCTATTCCACGTTGCTTAATTTCTAATCTTGCTTGAACTTCTGATCTCATGCACAAGACCGCATTGCCGAACGTCAGCCCAGGAACCATGACCCCTTTCCATATTCCTCTCACAACATCATACCTATTGTAATTCCACAGTGCCCTATTTTTCATGACTGCTGCATTCCTGTTACTTTTATTCGTCACGTATATTTCGTGTTCCCTCAGATACTCGGTCCCATTGCTTATCCACACGCCCAGATATTTGTATTTATCTGTTATCTCTAGCGTGACCTCCTGTATTCTAAGCTCACTACCTTCGTTGTCATTAAAAATCATGACTGCTGATTTTTCCTTACTGAATCTAAAATCTAACCTATCTCCCTCATTACCGCAGATGTCCATCAATCTCTGCAAATCTTCCTTGTTGTTGGCCATTAGCACTATATCATCTGCGTACATTAATGCTGGTAGTGCCTGATCAATAAGTTTTCCTTGTTTGACTAAAGAGAGGTTGAAGCCCAGTCCACTTCCCTCTAATTTTGCCTCTAATCCTTGTAGGTACATCATGAATAATAAGGGTGACAGGGGGCACCCCTGCCTAAGCCCCCGTTTTACCTCTGCAGGCTTGGATACCTGTTTTTCCCACTTTATAACTACCTTGTTACCTTTATAGATACCCTTTAAAAGATTAGTGACTACATGTTCCACACCTAGTGTGTCCAGTATTCCCCACAATTCCTCTTGAACCACGCTATCGTACGCTCCCTTGATATCCAAAAATGCTAGCCACAGGGGCCTGTGTTTTTCTGCTATTTCGATGCACTGCGTCAGTGAGAACAGATTTTCTTCCAACCTCCTGTGTTTCCGAAACCCATTCTGCAGTTCCCCCAGCACCCCCTCATCCTCTATCCACGCCTGCAGTCTTTCCTTTATAATTTGCATCGCCAGCCTGTAGACCACTGATGTCACTGTTATAGGACGGTAGTTGTTTATGTCAGCTTTTTCCCCCTTTCCTTTATAGATCATGCTCATCCTGCTAAGTTTCCATCCATTGGGAACTTCACCATCGATTATTATTTTGCTCACTGCCTCTCTCAAAGCCTGCTTAGACTTCGGACCTAATGTCTTTATCAGCCTAATTGGAATGCCATCTGGGCCTGTTGATGTACTACCAGGAACCCTTTTCTCAGCCCTTTCCCACTCTTGTTGTGAAAATGGAGCCATTCCACCCCTTGATTCGTCCTTGTCTATTGTGGTGCATAAAGTACTTCTTTGTTGAAATTTTTCTGTCACCCTTGTTCTTATATAATCAATAGCTTCGTCCCCTTCTAGCCTAGCACCTTGGGCTGTAGTTATAAAACTCTGCTCTAGGCTCGTCTCATTTCTTAGGGAGTTTAGATGGTTCCAAAGTTTCGCAGCTGCCTTTCTATCTTTTTTATGTACTTCTGCCAGCCACTGAGCTCCCTTCCTTCTAATCTTTTCATTGATCAGAAGGGATGCATCCCTTCTACAGCTTAGAAAGGTTGCCCATTTTCTTTCAACATCATCTGTCGGTTCACCCCGCTGCTTAGCATGTCTGTGTTCCCTAGAGGCTTCCTGACGTTTTGCTATGGCTCTCTTAACTTCCTCATCCCACCAACTTTTGGGTTTGTGTCTTCTTTTCCGGGGTGATTTG